GGCCGCGGCCGCGGCCCCCGCCCCTGGAGTGCTGGTGGCTGCTCCGCTCGCGCCTCCGGCAGCGCCGGCGGCGGCGCCTTCCGCGGGCGGCGGCGTAAGCGGGCTCGCGGCGGCTCTGGCCTTGCCACCAGCCGGCGCGGCGGGAGCAGCAGCAGCGGCGGCGCCCCCATTCCTGCTCGGGGCGCCCGCGCCGGCCGCGGCGGCGGCCGCAGCTGCGGCCCCAGTCGGCGCGGCGGGGGCGGCGCCTGCAGACGCCAGGATCAGGCCCGTCTCGTGCGACTTGCAGGGCCAGCGGCACGTGGACTACAGGACGGCGGTGACGAGCATGGAGGAGGGGGCCTTGCCAGACTGGCCTGTCCGTGGCCCCCGCGCGGCGCTGTGGGCGCTGAAGTTCATGGAGGCGCACTGGGGCACCCCCACTGGTCGCCACTCGAGGTGGCTCTCAGAGACGCGGCTCGCTGGTCATGAGCCTGGCGTCGATGAGCACGAGAGAGCCTGCCGTATTCTAGAGCGGATGGTGGTGTACGACCAGCTGAACGTGGCGAACCTCGCCTCTGGCGAGATGTTGGCGCGGGCGGTGCAGCTCCAGGAGGAGCGGTACCGCGACAGGCTCGCGCTGGCCGTGGATTCGCCGAACGAGAACGCTCACGTGATGTTGGGGACGGACCAGCTCCACGGCAACGTGTGCGTCGCCCCGGCGCTGCAGGAGTTCTGCAAGGACGCGCTGTCCAGGCAGAATGCGCACCGCAAAGAGCAGAGAAAAGCCAGAGAGGAGCGCGAGTTGTCCCGAAAGTCAGGCAAAGACAAGAAGAAGGGCATCGGCGACAGGGGCGCTGGCGAGAATGATAAGTGACCTCGGAGCGGGGGTCGGAGATGGGCGCCCGCCCCCCCAGCCTGCCCACCGGCTGGCGCCGCACCTGCTGCAGGCCAGTCACCTTCTTCCCCTCGCTCTGCTCTTGCCCGCTGCCCTATCTGGCGGGGCCGGGCGAGGGCCATCTTCTCGGACGCAGTCGTCGCGCTCGTCGCCGCCGAGGCCGGGCGAGGGCCATCTTCTCGGACGCAGTCGTCGCGCTCGTCGCCGCCGAGGCGCCGCCGAGCACAGGCGCGACTGGGCCAATGACGCTATCGATGTCATGAATGCTGTGTGCGCTCCTGGGGCTCAGCCGTCGGCCGTCGGACTTGCCGAAGGTCAGCGGGCGTCGCTCGAGCACGTCCAATCCGCGTTCGCCAGCCTGGAGACGCTCCCCGTTGGCGAAGGTTTTGAGGGCGGCGCTCTCAGTGAGCTCCTCGACGGCCCCCCGCTTTACAGCTCAGGGGGGCCGCGGCGGCCCCACTCGCGGGATTTGATCTCGTGGCCGGATGTTGGCGAAGACCCTGTCCCCATCACGGACGTCGTTGCTGACCTGGGCGCTCAGTGGCTTAGGGCTGGGAGCTCGAGCATGCTGCGTGACCGAGGTGAGGCTGATGCCCTCTTGCAACAGGTCTGCCCTCGCGGGCCGTACGTCGACCCGCACCTCTCCTTCTCGCCCGTCACCTACGGCGAGCTCCTTGCTGAGATGTTTAAGCGCAAGATGGTCTGCTTCCAGGCGGAGGATCCCAGCATCAAGCCAGTTGGAGTCTTTTGCGTGGCAAAGAAGAGCGGCCGTCTGAGACTGATTTTCGACACTCGTACAGCGAATGCCACTTCGCCGATCCGCCCGCCGCCGCGCTGCCAAGCGCAGCCGCCTTCGCCAACCTGGATCGAGGCGCCTGGTGGCCGGGTGGTCGTCGCAGCCGGGGACGTGGACAACGCGTTCTATCGGCTGAAGCTTCCCGACGGGCTCTGCGACTACTCCCGGCTGCCGCCCATCGCTCGTCGGCATCTGGAGGCTCGGGGCGTCGCTGGGCCCCCGCCGACGGAGCGCGTGCAGGCCTGCCTCGTCTTGTTGCCCATGGGCTTCTCGTGGGCCTTGCACATGTGCCAGCTGGCGCTCCGAGCGGGCATTGAGCGGGCGGGGGTGCCCCGCCAGCTCGTCATCGAGGATGGTCTGCCCGGCGTGGTGATCCGGCCCGAGGGGCAGGCGGCCGTCGCCGGGTATGTCGACAACTACTTGGCGGTCAGCTCGGTCGAGGCCGAGGCGGACCGGGCCCTCGCCAGCGTCGCGGCGGAGCTGGAGGGCGTCGGGCCGCGGGCGCACACGCCCGAGCAGGCCGCGGACAGCTGCAGCTTCTTGGGCATGGAGCTGCGGCGCGGGCGCTGGCTGGCCATCAAGGGGCGCACGGTGTGGAGGCTCCGCTACGCCATCGAGGAGCTCCTGCGCCGCGGTCGCGCCTCGGGGCATTTGGTCCGCATCCTCGTCGGCCACCTGACCTGGGCGTCCATGGTCAGGCGCGAGGCGCTCGGGCTGCTCAACTCCACTTGCGCCTTCATCGCCTCGACGGGCGCGGAGGTGCAGACGCTGTGGCCGGCGGTCCGCACGGAGCTCTGGCGGGCACGTTGCCTGCTGCCGCTCCTGGTGGCCGATCTGACGGCTCCGCGGGCTTCGAGGCTGGTTGCCAGCGATGCCAGTGAGGAGGGCCTCGGGGTGTGCCGGCGTCAGGCGCCCGTAGACCTCATCGCCCGTTGCGGACGGCACTGCGAGCGCTGGCGCTACCGAGTCGCCGGCGGAGCGCGTGCGAGAGACAGATCGCTCCTCCTGCCCACCTCCACTGCCCGGCCTCCTGGGCTGCCGTCGGAATCGTCATCTGATACTACCACGACGGCTTCGCCATGCACGCCGGACATGTCCCAGGACACCTACCAGGACGCTGCCCTTCGCTCGCCGGAGGTCTTTCGAGGGCCCGTGCGAGGACTTCAAGGGCTTCCAGGAGACCAAGGGGGACCTGGGCATCGAGGGCTCCTTGAAGAAGCAGATGGGGTTCGACGAGGTTTCCGCGGGGCTCTTGGGCGCCAAAGCTTGGAGGGGGGTCATCGCCACCCAGGTCCAGGAGGGCCATGACATCTTGGGTCTGGAGGCCGACGCCCTGGTGGTTGCGTACAAGCACCTCTTGAGGTCCTCAGCCTGTCTTGGAAAACGTGTGCTGGCGCTGGTGGACAATGTGCCCCTCTGCTTGGCCGTCGCAAAAGGTCGAGCAGCTTCCAGTTACCTTCAATTGCCATTGCTGAAGATTTGTATGATGTCACTTGCTACGGGGACTAGATTGCATTGCCGATGGATACCGTCAGAGCGCAATCCCGCAGACGCCCTGTCTCGAGGGCGCCGCTCTTGGTTTTCAGACTCCCGCAGTCGGCTGCGGCCCGCCAGGCCGCCCTCGCAGCATGCCCGCACGGCGGAGGCCTGCCGGCCAGGCCGGCCCGCTCGTTCGGAGGCGACCCGCGCGGCGGCCTGCGCAGGCGGCCGCGGACGCCCGAGCGAGGAGGGCAGCGCTGGCGGCCAGGCTGATGGTCGAGAGGCCTGCGTCGGGTCAGCTGAGCGCGCTGGAGACGCTGGCGGTGAGGCCCGGCGCCGAGGAGCAGTACCGCAGGATCCTGCAGGAGTTCGTGGCGTTCTGTTCCGCGAACCACCTGGACTGGAAAAGCTTCGGCCAGCTGGACGAGGTCACCACCGGATTCCTGAACTACCAGTTCGCTCAGGGCGCGCCGGCGAGCCAGGGGTCGTTGCTCCTGGCCTCGCTTGCCCACTTCTCGCCGGGCCTCCAGGGCTCGTGGAAGGCCCAGCTGCCTCGGGCCAGGAGGAGCTCTGTGGCGTGGCAGCGTCGGGTGCCCGCGATGACTAGGGCGCCGTTGCCGTGGTGCGCCGCCGTGGCCCTGGCCGGCTTGCTGGCCATCAGCGGGCGGCGGCGCATGGCGATCTGGATCCTGCTCATGTTCAGCCGCTACCTGAGGCCCTTCGAGGCGCAGGGGCTCCGCGGAGTCTCGCTGGCGCGGCCCGCCGCGGAGGCAGCTGCCTCGGCGGGGAGCTGGGCCCTGCTGCCCCACCCTGCGAGCGAGGGGCGCCCGGGGAAGACAGGTCTGTTCAACGAGAGCGTCGTGATCGACCTCGACCTGCACCTCTGGTCGCTGCTCGGCGCGCTGAAGGACGTTGTGGGCCCCGAGCAGAGCCTCTGGGACTTCACCCTGCCGGCGTTGCGCGAGCAGTTCAAGGTGTTCGCCGACCTGTTGAAGCTGGACGCCCTCAGCCCGGCGCTGCACGCGCTGCGGCACGGGGGGGCGAGCTGGGACTTGCTGGAGAAGCGCCGCGCGCTGGAGCAGGTCCAGCGGCACGGCCGCTGGGCAGCGGCCGCCAGCATGAAGAGGTACGCAAAGGAGGCTTACCTGCAGGAGGCCATGACTCGCGCGCCGGACTGGGTCTTCACGTTCGGGCGGGTCGTTCGCGCCAACCTGCAGCAGATTGTCGAGCTCGGACCAGGCGTCCGGTACCACCCGCGCGCGTGGCAGCTGCTCCCGGCACTCGTCCAGGCCCCTGGGGTTGCTCGGATCGCGTTTTTTGATCCGGCACTTTTCGACGCTGCAATTTTGATCCAGGGCCTTGTTTTTGATCCAACGCGGTCACACGGCACAATTTTGATCCAGAGCCTTGTTTTTGATCCAGGGCCTTGTTTTTGATCCGCGCATGGTTTTTTGATCCAGCACACTGTTTAGGCTTGTACAGTATGTGCACATGACCAATTCATATATATATATATATATACAGGTGCACATACATACATACATACATATATATATATACTAAAACCATACACATACTAACATGCACACACGTACATAAGCATACATACATGTATATGCTTATATACATATACATATACACACAAACATAAATATACACGTATATGCACATATATACATATATACATATAAACACATATACAGACAAATACACACATCTATACATATACACATATACATGCATATAAACATATTACACATATATACACATATGGAACACACACATATATATATATATGTATATATATATATATATATATATATATATCACGCCTGGGGACCACGATGAGGTCCGCGGACTACGCCTGGGAACGCGCGCCCGCGCTGTAGGGCGCGCCGCGCTCTCAAGCGCGGGGCGCCCTAAAGCGGTGGTCGGCGGACTCACGCGCCTGGCGGCCCGATGGCGGCCCGCGGATCACGCCCCAGGTCCCCGATGTGCGGGGCGGCGGGATTTTGTCGTGCCGTGTCGTGCCGTGCCGTTCTGCCTTGGTTGTCTCAGGCGTCTCGTGGTGTCTGGGGCCTTATGCGTCTTGGTGAGTCTTGAAGCATCAGGCGTCTTGGGCGTCTAGGGGCCTGAAGCGTTTTGGGGAGTCTGGGCTTTATGTGTTCTGGAGCGTCTATAGGGCCTCAGGCATTTTAGGTGTCTAGAGGCCTTAGGCGTCCTGGGGTGTCTGGGGGCCCTAGATTTCTTCGGGGTGTCCTGTCACCGCGGGCCCGTCTCTCTTTGAAATTGTGGCTCGGGCGCGTTGTCGGCGCCACGAGGATGGCGACCCCACCGAACGAGGATATTGTAAACCGCATCAGCACATTACTTAAGACGAGCGCCCTCTTGCCATACCGCGATGAGCTCGCAGGCCGCAGGGACATCGACGCCCTGGTGAAGCACCGCGAACTCATCGCTGCCGTGAAGGACTGGGCCGTCGTCGTCGTCACCCTCGTGTTCGTCTTTCTTTTCTTGATCTTTCACCTCCCAAACAAGGACGCTGGTAACAAGGGGGAGCTGAAGATCCTTTTCCAGAAGGTGGCGGAGAACCGCAATTCAGAATGGCAGCTCGGTCTCGAAGCAGAGGCATGGGCAACGAAAATGGGCAGACGAGCTCAAGCCATGCGCCGCGACATCCAGCAGGCCATCGCGAAAGCCAGAGATAGCGACAACGTTCCCGAGTGGCTCAGCCCGTTCATGCAGGACGGGACCGACAAGACGGAGTACGATGTCAAGTACATACGGGGCGAGCAGGTTTGCTATCGGACTCAGAAGGGCGTCAAGAAGCCTTTGCGGGAGGAGTCTGAGCCGCTGCAGCCCAACGACGAGGGCGACGATGAGTTGGTCCTAGCGAAGTGGCATGACGGATTCACGTGCAGGATCCCGAACTTGACAAATAAGACGTTGAGGGCCCTACAGGTGGACAATGGATCAGGGGATCGGCGCCCTTCAAGCGTGACCGAGATCAAGCGGGAGGTGGCCAAGGACGGAGCTACGTGGCGACTGATCGACGCTAAGGAGCGTCGCCCAGATGTTCCTGACGTCGCGTTCCTGCGCGTCTTCAGGGCCCAGGGCGCGGCGAAGCCGATGTTGCAGCTGGTCGCGACGCGCCGCGCCGCAGACGAGAAGGAGAAGGCCACGTGGGAGAGGTGGGGGGGGATTGGAGAGGAATAGGACGGGGGGTCATCGGGTCAACGGTCGGTCAACGCACGTGCATTGACCTGCCGTGGAGCCGGTGACCCGGTGGCCCCCCAGCCGTTCGCCCCGCATCCCCCCTCTCCTCGCCTAGGCGATTGCCTGCATGAAGAAGCTGATGACAGAGATGATCAATGGCATGCCGAAAGAAACGGCAGAGGAACAAAAAAAAAGAGCACGTCAAATCAGCGCCCAAGTAGACTGCTGCCAGTAAGAAGCCAGCATCAGCATCGAAGTCGGATACCAAACAGCCTGCGGCCGCGACGTCCCAAGACGACGGCAACGAGAAGAACGAGGAGGAGGAGGAAGGAGAAGAGGACGAGGAGGAGGACGAGGAGGAGGAGGAAGAAGAAGAAGACGCTGAAGAGGCTGAGGAAGATGGCGAGGAGGAAACGGCTGAAGAAGATGAGGAAGAAGAGGGGGAAGTTCGCAAAAAGCCAGCGCTCAAGAAACCAGCGAGTGCGGCAGAGGATGAGGATGAGGGCGATGGCGAAGCCTTGAGAATGAAAAGGCCCGCCGCTGCGGCGGAGGAGGATGAGGACGAGGAGAAACATGAAGAATCGCCAAAGATGAAGAGGCCTGCGGCGGCACATGAGGAAGCGCCAAAGATGAAGAGGCCTGCAGCGGCGGCACCAGCGAGCGAGGAAGCGCCAGCGGCGCCAGCGAGCGGGGCAGAGGCAGCGGCACCAGCGAGCGAGGCAGAGCCAGCGGCACCAGCGAGCAAGTCAAGGCCAGCGGCACCAGCGAGCGGGGCGACACCTATGGCAACCAGCGCATCACCGAGCAGGGCAACACCTTCGGGACCAATGGCGCCAGACCAGGACACTTGTTTCAAAACGTCGTCCGATCCTCCGATCCTAGATCCTCCGATTGTCCGATCGTCCGACCCTGGGGTCTCCGATCCTAGATCCTCCGATCGTCTCATCCTAGATCCTCCGATCGTCCGATCCTAGGTCCTCCGATCCTAGATCCTCCGATCGTCCGAACGTCGTCCGATCCTAGATCCTCCGATCCTAGATCCTCCGGTGTTAGATCCTCCGATCCTCCTCCTCCTCCCCCTTATTACCAATTCTCCCTAGATCCTCCGATCGTAACCCGGTCCACTGGGTAATCCGAGATAGGTCGACGATTTGGATCGAAATCATTATGTCCTCTTCCTTCGGCCTTCCTCCACCCCCCCTCCGCCGATGTCCCCAGGACGGCCGCCCCGCGGTGAACGTGGATTCGGCCGACTCCATGG